AAAAAAAAAAAAAAAGGCCAGACACAGTGGCTCACGCCTGTAATCTCAGCACTCAGCACTTTGGGAGGTCAAGGCGGGCGGATCACTTGAGGTCAGGAGTTTGAGACCAGCCTGACCAACATGGTGAAACTCCATTTATTCTAAAAACACAAAAATGCGTGGTGGCAGGTGCATGTAATCCCAGCTACTCGGGAGGCTGAGGCAGGAGATCGCTTGAACCCAGGAGGCGAAGGTTACCGTGAGCCGAGATTGCACTATTGCACTCCAGCCTGGGTGACAGAGCGAAACTCCATTTAAAAAAAAAAGAACAAAATGCAATTATAAATTAAAGCCCAAATAAATATAATAGATAAAAAGCAAGAGCTCGGGGCCTGGCACAGTGGCTCACACCTATAATCCTAGCACTTTGGGAGGCCAAGGCAGGTGGATCGCCTGAGGTCAGGAGTTCGAGGCCAGCCTGACCGACATAGTGAAACCCTGTCTCTACTAAAAATACAAAAAAATTAGCTGGGCGTGGTGGCAGGCGCCAGCTACTGGAGAGGCTGAGGCAAGAGAATAGCTTGAACCCGGGAGGCGGAGGTTGCAGTGAGCCGAGATCACGCCATTGCACTCCAACCTGGGCAACAAGAGAGAAACTGTGTCTCAAAAAAAAAAAAGCAAGAGCTCTTTGAGTGAAGCGGGATGGGGTGAGCCCTGACTTTCAGGCCTTGTCCTCGGAGCCATCAGCTTTATGAAACGTCTTCTATGAGTAGGGAAATAACAACAATAAAAAAGAAATTTCTTCTGGGAGAAAGGGGTGCAGACTTGCAGAGAATTACTCTTGCCTCACCAGTAAGCAAGCAGCCTTTGTGATGAGCATTCATGTCAAATAGCATCTATTGGCAGCATCTGCCCCTCAGTCTCCTGATTCGTGATCCAGTATCTTGGTCACTAACCTCTCATTCCCTCTTTGCTGCCAGAAAGACTGCAATTGTAATTTCCTCACTTTGAGTAGTCATAAAGATGCCTGCCCTTAGCTTGTGCTGGCAAAGCTAGCATCTCTAGCCAGCACCTCCTTTCCTTTCTCGCTTTTATCTTCCTGGGACCCAGTCATACAGAAAAGACCTGTTGCTTGCTTGGGGCGAGGACAGAAGATTACACTCTCATCTCAAACTAATGGAAAAATGCACCTGAGCTTTCTATTAATATACACTAATCTATTCCTATTGTTATACCCAATCTATTATTGTGCAAAAATCCAACAATCCAACAACAACGTCAAGGTCAGAGTGTTGTCATGTTGTCATGGTGTGTCTTGAGTAGGGAGGAGGTGAAAGCTACTGGAGTTGAGGTCCAAGAGAGAGGCTGGCATGTTGGAGACATCATCATCTAGGATGGTAGTAAGATTTGTGTTTAGAAAGGAAGACTGTGATGTCAAAGACCTAATGTATGTAAGGGAGTATAAATAATAATAGTTATTTACACTCCTCTAAATATAAGTAATAATGGTTAGCATTTACTGAATGTTTGCCATATGTCAGGCAATGTCTTAAGTGCTTTGCAAGCTTTATCTCACTTTATCTCTTTAATCCTCTCAGTAACCCTCTAAGTGTTTTTGTTTGTTTGTTTGTTTGTTTGTTTTTTGAGACAGAGTCTTGTTCTGTTGCACAGGCTGGAGTGCAGTGGCATGATCTCAGCTCACTGCAACCTCTGCCTCCTGGGTTTAAGCGAGTCTCCTGCTTCAGCCTCCTGAGTAGCTGAGATTACAGGCGTGTGCCATGATGCCCGGCTAATTTTTTGTGTTTTTAGTAGAGATGGGGTTTCACCTTTTTGCCTAGGCTGGTCTTAAACTCCTGAGCTTAGGCAATCCACCTGCCTCAGCCTCTCAAAGTGCTAGGATTGTAAGTGTGAGCCACCATGCCCAGCTGCTAAGTGTTCTTTTTATTCTTATTTTGATTCAGAACCTACAATGATGCCTGGCATATAGTAGATATTCAAGGCAAGTCAGGTCACTCCTCCACCTAAAACCCTGCAGTGGTTTTTCACTTGGTGGAGGCAGACACAGGGTGCAGTGGAAGCCCAGAGCGGGGACCCAGATCAGAACTGACTCCAACAGGACTTCAGTGTTGAAAGACAAGGGAGAATTAGCTAGGTGAAGCAGCAGGAGAAAGGCATTCTAAGCGGACTCCTCAGAATGTGCTAATGCATAGAAATGGAATAAAATAGCATGTGCGTGGGGCATGGCTGTTAATGTCTTATGGCTGGAGTGTAGCTGCTAACGTTTACTGAATGTTTATTGTGTTCACGCTGTGTTAATTATGTTACATAGTAACAAAGACTCTCTCCTTGACCATACCTGAGTCTGGGTCCTCTGAGCCCTCTTTCTGACTAAGCTCCAACCTTGGGTTCTGTCCTTAACCCACTTAATCTAGTTTTAGCAAAAATACTGCTGAGCCAGTTTAGTAAAAAATGCCTGCCCTCAGTGTCTGATCAACCTCAATATCTGATCAAATTCCTCATCCTCTACTCTCCATATCTTTCTTTTTTTAGATTTTTTTTCTCTGTGTGTGGGGTGTGTGTGTGTGTCTGTGTGTAACAGAGTTTTGCTCTGTTGCCCAGGCTGGAGTGCAGTGACACAATCTCGGCTCACTGTAACCTCTGCCTTCTGGGTTCAAGTGATCCTCCTGTCTCAGCCTCCCGAGTAGCTGGGATTACAAGCGCCTGCCACCGCGCCTGGCTGATTTTTGTATTTTTAGTAGAGACGGGGTTTCACCATGTTGACCAGGCTGGTCTTGAACTGCTGACCTCAAGTGATCTGCCTGCCTCGGCCTCCCAAAGTGTTGGGATTACAGGCATGAGCCACCACACCCGGCCAGATTTTTTTTTTTTTTTTTTTGAGAGGTGGGGTCTCCCTATGTTGCCCAAGGTGATCTCGACTTCCTGGCTCAAGAGATCTTCCTGACTTGGCCTCTGAAAGTGCTGAGATTACAGGCATGAACCACCATGCTGGCCTACTCTCCATATCTTATCATTCTAGCCTGCCTTCAGCAAGAATCCTGAGTCTACCTAGCAAGATTTCCCCTAGCCTTAAAACAAAGAAAGAAAAATAAGATAAAATAAAGAGATCCTTCACCTGAACAAGGAGAAAACAGAAGAAAAAAATTCCCCTATCCTTGATGTCTCCTCTTAGTAACTTTCCATTCACTGACTCCTATCCTGTTCCTTGGCTATAAATTCTCATTTTTTCTTGTCATATTTGGAGTTGAACCCAGTCTGTCTCCCCTATTGCAAAATCTCATTGCAGTGGTCCCTAGACCTGTCACCATAGTCCTGAATAAAGTCTGCCTTGACCTGACATGGTTGCTTATACCTGTAATCCTGGCACTTTGGGAGGCCAAGGCAGGTGGTTTGCTTGAGTCCAGGAGTTCAAGACTAGCCAGGGCGACATGATGAAACCCCATCTCTACAAAAAATACAAAAATTAGCCAAGGATGGTGGCTCACGCCTGTAGTTCCAGCTCGTTGAGAGGCTGAGATGGGAGGATCACCTGAGCCTGGGAGGTTGAGGCTGCAGTGAGCCAAGATCATGCCAGTGCTCCCCAGCCTGGGCAACAGAGAGAGAGACACTGTCTTGAAAAAAAAAAAAAAGAGGGAAAGGGAGAGGGTGAGGGAGAGGGAGAGGGAGAAGAAAGAAGAAGAAGGAGAAGGAGAAGGAGAAGAAGAAGGAGGAGGAGGAGGATGAGGAGGAGGATACAAGAAACTCCTAATTCCTAGACACTCCTGTGATGCACATTTAGTCAGTTTGGGTTATGTTTTGGGAAAATGTATGGCCTCCTCAACTTCTCAAGCTGACTCTGATACAGCCAGGTTTGAGAACCACTTCTGGAGGCAAGAGAACCATCAAAAGAGTTTGAAGTAGGGTAGTGAATTGATCAAAGCTGGGTTTTAGAAAAATCAGCCTGGTAGGGTAATACACAGAATGGATCAGAGGGAAGGGGTGGGGAGATGACTTAAGACACTATTGCAGTAACCCAGGAAATGAGGAAG